ACTTTATTTTGTTTCTGTGTTTCTTCGTAGAGAATCATGGAGTTAGAAGGACATGAAACAACCCACATTCTTGTTTTTGTGGACGAGGCCGGGTTCAATCTGTCCAAAGGCCGGAGACGTGGTCGCAATCTCATTGGACACCGAGCCACAACTGACACACCAGGCCAACGTGGGGCCAATATTACAATGTGTGCTGCCATTTCAGAGAATGGTGTTAGCACACATTCCACACATTGGGCCCTATAATACCCAACTTCTCCTGGCCTTCCTAAACACACTTTACAGAGACCTGATTCCAGAACAAGAAAGAGGTTTAGTTAGACCACATTTGCCTAATTATGTTGTTGTCTGGGATAATGTCAGCTTCCATGCTGCACATGAAAGGATAACAGTGGAGTTCCTTCCACCATACTCTCCATTCCTAAATCCAATAGAAGAGTTTTTTTCAGCATGGAGGTGGAAAGTATATGATCATAGACCACAAGATCAGATGTCTCTGTTGGATGCCATGAATGCTGCATGTGAGGACATCACAGCTGATCATTGCAGGGGATGGGTGCGGCATTCAAGGAGATTTTTTCCCCGGTGCATGGCAATGGAAAACATCAGATGTGATGTTGATGAAAATCTTTGGCCTGACCAACAAGAGCGACAGGATGTCCACCAAGAATAATTTTTGAAGTATTCAAAATAAGTATTTTTGTGTATTTGTGGTAACATAAGAAATATGAAATGTACAGTAATTGGACAAGCAAGATTTCACTTATATGTAATGCATTCGTACAAAAATAAATGTACTGTATAAATACAAATGTTCATATACTTTTTTCTATGTATTATTGACTCTTCTCAACAAATATCAGATTTTTTATAAAACCTTCATTTCCATGGTTGACTGTCATGGTGAAAAAACAACTAAACATTTTGACCAGTGTGGCTCACACGATGACAAAAATACTTTATATTTTGGTGGCCTTGGCCAAATTACTGACACGATAACTAGGTTTTGAAGCATGAATTAAATGTTTTGGGTGAGTAACTACATTTTGCAGACATGCAATAAAGTTCTGAAGTTCCAGCAAACAGTTGTGACATTTGCACTCACAGTTTAGAGAATGTTAAGATTGTTTCGAAAAATGTGCCAAAGCAATTGAGAAAAACTGTAAACAAAATGGTCCGGCCCCTCTGGCATTTGTCAGAATTGTCAGATGGCCAATCCGCCCCTGGATAGATAGATAGACAGACAGACAGACAGACAGACAGACAGACAAATAGATAGAAAGACAGACAGATAGATAAAAAGAGAGACAAATGCAATGATGGACGGACGGACAGATGAAAGAAAGAAAGAAAGAAAGAAAGAAAGAAAGAAAGACAATTAAATGTGAAAGGGATCAGCTGTGAGCAGGCTCTGTTCAGATGACAGTAAATTGAAGATAATACAGAATTGAAGTGGGTTTGACAGCTGTTGAATGGCTTGCAGAGACTGTTTGGGCTGGCTGGCACGAGGACTGACGTGCATCTTCACTCGCCCTGATCATCAATCCTAATGACACACATCAGATGAAAGAAAGAAAGAAAGAAAGAAAGAAAGAGACAATTAAATGTGAAAGGGATCAGCTGTGAGCAGGCTCTGTTCAGATGACAGTAAATTGAAGATAATACAGAATTGAAGTGGGTTTGACAGCTGTTGAATGGCTTGCAGAGACTGTTTGGGCTCACAGGCACGAGGACTGACGTGCATCTTCACTCGCCCTGATCATCAATCCTAATGACACACATCAGCATCTGATGCTCACGTGTGTTTAGGAGTCACACTTTCACCAAAACACACCAGGAGCTCCATGAGTCTGAGAGGGTCCATGTCTCACCTCACAAATGTCTCATATTTTTTATTTGGGTTAAAAAAAGCTAAACTCAGGCACAAGCATAAAACCTAATTAATGCTCAGTGCAAAGATCATTAGCACACTGCATTCCAGAACAGAAAAGTTCTGTTTTGGGTGCTCGTGTTTTGCTAATTCCCTCTTGACAGTGCTGTGGCACTTGTGCTTATAGGAATGTGGAGAAGATTACACATTGCTTTTAATTATGGCAGCTCGTTTGCATATCTTTCTAAATCATAATATATGGTAATGAGCATTTTCCTTGCATTGAGAGTCCCAGGCAGCAAATGTGCCCTAAAAATGTCTATAAATATTAGTTTTCCTGTCAGCTCAAAGAAATTCTCTTGAAATGTTTTTAAATAGCATCACTTCTATTTATTTTCCAGAAGAAATGTAAATGCATTGCAATTAAAATAAACATTAATTAGCATGTGTGGTCTTAATAAACATCCTGAAACTTTTGTTAGAGAGGCATTCACATCAGTTACAGTTCTGAAATTTGACAAAGGGTTTTGAGAGAAGGCTGCCCTGTTCTCAGCAAATTAGAAAATATTCCACTAAAAATTATGAAGTGGTGAAAGACATGGCCTGGCAGATAGAGCAAATGTTCTGAAATAATACGCTAGGGTCGCTTCCTCATCACACTGCTCCCCACTTCTTCCTATAGTTTGGTATTAATTTATCAATAAAGGTGGCAAAACAATAATGACATCGTAAATTAATCATAAAATATAGTAAACTAATTATAAAATAGTTAAAAATATTCAAACAAAAGTAAAAGAAGAAAAACAAGAAACTTACACTTGATAGAATATTCACATCTGTAAAATATTTTTCCTTTTCATAGAATGCTATGAATAATTTATACCAAACTCTGTTATGAATATGCATTTTTATGTAAAACTAGTCAGTAACACGTGCATGTAAGACTCATGAACTTATACATTACAGCGATGGTTAATTTTAAATCAGACATAACTGAAAAATTACTAGCGGTTCAAGTGAGTGTTTCAGTTGTGAACTCAGTAACAGCTCTGAACGATTTACTGACTGAGAGTGATTCAAATCACTCACAAGTGAATCAGTTTGACTAATGCATTAATTGAGCCAGTTCAAAAGAGTCATTTTCCTGTGAATCAGACATCGCTCTTCACGCTATGTTCATTGTGTGCATTAAAGGAATATTTCACTGAAAAATAAAAATTTGCTGAAAATGTACTCACCCTCAGACCATTTAAGATGTAGATGCAATTGGAATAGATTTGGAGAAATTTAGCATTACATCACTTGCTCACCAACGGGTTCTCTGCAGTGAATGGGTGCCGTCCAAACAGAGTCCAAACTGCTTATAAAAACATCACAATAATCCACAAGTAATACACAAGTGTTATTGCAAGCACACAGCTTTTCACTTCACAAGACATTAATTGATGGACTGGAATTAATCAATTAATGTTGTGGATTATTGTGATGTTTTTATCAGCTGTTTGGACTCTCATTCTGACAGCACCCATTCACTGCAGAGGATCCATTAGTGAGCAAGTTATGTAATGCTAAATTTCTCCAAATTTGTTACGATGAAGAAACAAACTCATCTTGGATGGCCTGAGGGTGAGTACATTTTCAGCAAATTTTTATTTTAGGGTGAACTATTCCTGAAAACTTGCACGCATGATACAATGAACCATCTAACAAACTGCATCTGGACACAAGCTTTACCAACCAGATTATTGTTGCACATTTTTACTTAAATATTTTTGTCAGGTTTTCGTAATTTTTTCCATACATTGTATTTAAATTTTTTCCATACATACATTTCATTGTATTGAGAATATCAATATGAACATCCTTCAAACCTTCTCCTTCTCTGTTCCAAGTAATACAAATTATTTACTCATCATACAGAAGAGTAAATAATGGCAGAACTTCATTTCTCTTTAAAAACGTATACAAGATCACAAGTTTCTTCACCTGCGTTTAATAGAACCAACTAATGGAAGAAAAATGCTCTCAAGCTAAATACCAAGCCTGAATCTATCTGAAAACATCTTGTAGATATTGAAATCACTTTGTGCCTCTCCACTGAGTGCACATCTTTTATTCAGCCCTACAAGCAAATATCATTTTATCCTCTCAATGAGTCCAGCATCAGAAAACATACTTAGATCCTCATACATTATTTGATTCTCTGAAGAGCCTAAGAGCAGAGAAAGCCTCAGTTGAGGTACGATTCAAAGAAACCAGGCGATCTGATTATTATGCGTATCAAGTGCGTCAATCTATGAAAGACACTCTCAGTCTGAAGATGGAGCAGAAGACATTTGTGCTCTGTGGGCAAGACAATGTGTTGACCCACAAACAAAGCAAGCGATCAGATAGAAGCACTTGTGTGGAGAAAAAGCAGGGCTTTCAAACAGGATCGTAATCTGTATCTGACTGAAGAGAAGAGTGAGGGAGGTTTTAATTTACCACGAGAGGAGGAAGCTGCCCAAGTACATGAGAGGAGGAAGCTGCCCAAGCACATCAGAATGTGATTTTACACTCAAGTACACTCTGGACTCCTGCTTTTTATGTTTTCTTCTTCTTCTTCAAACAGAAGTGATAGGACAGAGTGAACCTCTTGTTCTCTGTGGCACTGTGGATCTCACGATCCATC